GGGAGAGGGTCCCAGTCAGGCGGGCAGGTAGCCGCGAGAGAGGCCCGGTCAGGCGGGCAGGTAGCCGGGAGAGGGGTCCCATCAGGAGGCCAGGTAGCCGGGAGAGGGAAGCAGGAAGAACTGAAACAGGCAATATAGATAAACCTATGCACCTAGGAGATGACCCTGACCAATTGCCTCCATACCATCGAGATGAGACACTCAGGGGTTCTTGGGGTCATGAAGATGATAGAATGCAGGAGGAATTCCCTTTGGATAGTCAAGATGACCCTTCTTTGGAGCATGAGCGATTGGATGAATGGGAAAGAGAACGATACTGGAGAGATCACAACTCTGATTATCAGGATGATTCTGTAGATGTGTATGACAGAGATGACAGGTTGCAATCCCACCACTCATTGCCTCCATTATCTCCTCTACCACCACTACCTCCTTTATCATCTGATCATGACAGACGAGATTCGTGGTGGGATGACTGGAAAAGGCCAAGAGAGAGGGAACTAGAAAGAGATCTAGATAGGACTGGAAGATCCTCAGATATTTATGATCAAGATTTAGACAGAGAATGGGATAGAGACTGGGACATGAGACCTATGGATGACAGAGAAATGGGGAATCGTGACCTGGATATCCCTCCTCTACCACCATTACCACCTCTTCCACCTCTGGACAGATACCGTGAAGATAGGTGGAGGGAGGATAGGAACAGAGATCATTATGACAGAGATCTCCGAGACAGAGGGGAGCTGAGGATTCGAGAGTATCCAGAGAGGTATGACACATGGCGGGAGAAGCAAGACTACCTTCCTGAAAGGACTGATTGGGAGAGGGAACGGTTGTCGGACAGGTGGTATCCAGATGATGGAGACAGACTGCGGTCTTTGGATGATCATTCAGATTCATCCCTTCCTCCACCTTCACATTCCTCTGATATGCTGGGAGCAGATTCAAACCTGGACTCTGACCAGTCCTTGGGAGGAGTGATGGTCCTTAGCCAAAGACAGCATGAGATAATTCTGAAGGCTGCCCAGGAGCTCAAAATGCTTCGGTGAGTTGCCCGGTTTTGTCACTTTGGGTGGGAATCCCATTCTGTGGAAATGGTGTTCCTTTCCTAATTCATTCCTTGATTTACACAGAAATAGCTTAATTTCTTTTCACCATAGCATGATAGTAGGATCTCATGTGGAACAAGTTATTTGGAGTACCTCTATCACACCTTTTGTGGATGGACCTTTTTTCTTAAATAGAAGGTTGTCCCTTTCCCCATGAATATGGCATTCCCTGTTTGTTACCTTTCAAGAAGAGATCTGTCCGCATCACCTCACCAATCTTTTTGTTATCAACAAGCTTATTTGAGGATAATTACTTTTTAATCTTTTTATTGGTGTCAGATGAGCTCGTTGACTATTGCTTTTTAATACTTAACCTGTTAAAATCTACATTAATGTGGTTCTTAATTCACACAATGGGACCTATTTAATTTTTGGATGCTGCTTAGCTTTTAATTAAAGCGTATGTGGGTTTTTTTCTTTTTTCAATGATCTCTCATTTGAAATCCAGCATTGTCAGCGAATAATTTTCTCAAGTTTGGTTGATCTTCTGAGGTTCAACATAACAGTGGTGATAATGATCAGTAGGATATGAATGCAAGAGTTCACCAAGACCACATTCTAGAAAACAGGCACGAGACTCCCTAAGGCTTTAATAGGTATTTATTTCAAAACAAGTAATAGAATATCCTCTTAAACATCAGAAACATTCTAGGGCTCAGTAAATTTAGTAAAATTAGAATGAATGGAGCACATATCTATTCAAGTGCTATCTTTTGGTCCATGAGTTTAGGTGCATTAAGTGTGTTACCAAAAAAAAAAAAAAAAAGGAAAGATGAGTTTGTTTGACTGTTTTCAGTGAATGAGATCTTTCAGAGGAGATTGTAGAGAAAAGAGGAAGCATCTTAGAGATGGAGGTTCATGTGGTTCATCCTGTTCGAATTACTGAGTGATAGCTAAGGATGGGTGCCTAGTAAAGACAGGGTTTTAATTTCATAAACAAGATATGCTAGTATATTGGGCAACTAAAATGAATGTTAGGTTATCATTATTACATTTACATTAAACCATGGTGAAAGATAGAGACATTTTGCACTTTTCTTGAAGCCATTTTGTTTTCAGGCTCAGAAGATTGCTAAGCATCTGTCCTGTATGGGAGGCCTCAGTTGCATGCCAAAATGCAAGAAAAATAATTTTTAAAAAGGGAGAACTCTTATTCTGGATAATTTAATCTTTCACTGTACTTAGATTAATTCAACAGGTGTTAGTAACTGTGAAATACGTGTTGTAAATCAATATTTGTTAAAAGTTCAGTTCAACAGATCGTGTTCAGCTTCCTGACTTTCCCATTGCCTCAGGTTGCAAGGCATATGTTTTACTGTTTAATGTGACTAGCTGCAAGCCCGGGGACTGAAGCTAAGGACCATAGTTTGGGAATCACTATCTAAGTGAATAATTTATCAGGGTTGAAATATTTAAAAGTAGGAGCTAAAACGTTTTATGTAAGGAAGTAGATACATACTCTTTCTGAGCCAGTAAAAAGGGGAAATATAAATGTGATACTACTGATACTGATTTTTAATTGAGCAGGAGGGTAATCTTAAAATTAGTTACTTTGATATTTCTCATCAGATTCTTATAAGCAGCTGACTCCAGTCTGAACAGTAGGAACAACTTTAAGGAGAGTGCTTATGGTTTAGGTTTTTTGAGCCACAAGTTACACCAGCAGTGTAACTGCTTTCATCTAGCTTTGCTTTTAGTGTGTGTAAAACAGCATACTCTGATCTGCATGCTGTTCTGTGTGTCATCTGTTGTATTTAGTTGTTCTTTGGGAACTACTTTAATACAGACAATTAATGTGAACAAAGACTTAGGAGCAATAAAAAAAAACCTAGATAAAAACTGCTAACAAAACCTGAAAGGAGATCATACTGAATAGAACTTTGTAATCCAGTGGTTGTAGTGTTCACTGCTGGTCCTGGGCTCTGCTCCATAGACTATATATTGGTTATATGATAAATAGCATTTTCATATATAAAACAAGGAAACAAAAGTTAAAATCACTGTTTGTTTTTTGAATATTGGAATGTCTGTTGTGCTTTGTTGGCCTCAACCCTGTTAGACTCAGAGCAAGTCACTGAGAGCGCTTATGCACACATTTCCAGTGGGCTTCTTGTTTGCAGAAGGTGATGGTAGAAACTAAAAATCCATCTTTGCTCTTTACTGTCAAAGTGGAGTGGTTCTGGCCAAGCACAAAAGCATAACTGCATGTCTTGGGGAAAACTTGTGATCAAAAAAGGATGCAGTGAATATACTAAATACCTCCGTGGTTAGGTGGATGTGAAACAGGGATTTCTGAATCACAGCGTTGACCATGTTAAGCCTGCTGTGTCCTTTTCTTCTTTGGACTTGGCCTCTGATGCTAGTGTAATACATGGTTTTCACCGTGAGTGTTGATTTCTTTAATTTTTCATTTAAGCTACAGACTGATAACACTTTCTTGTGATTTACGTGCAGAGAGCAAAAAGAGCAGCTACAGAAGTTGAAAGAGTTTAAACCTGACATTTCCACACAGGACTCTCCGAGATCACAGAATACAAGCGCAAGGCCAGGTACCTTTCAGGTAAATTTATTTTATGTTAACTTAATAACATGCTGGTAGTAATTACTATTAATTTGTGTGTCAGATCAGTTCTACAGTCTGATGGTCCAATTTCTCTGTGGAATGTCTTCCCAGCAGCCCTTACAATCTCATCAATCTTCTGTTGAGGCAAAGCATCTTCTTTAGTTTCTTTAGATTTTTCCAAAGCCTTTTCTACTCATTTAGTCCACCACATCTTCTGAGCGTGACCCATTAGGGACAGTAGTGCATGAGGTTCAACAGCCTAGATTGCTGTGGGATGATGTGCAAGAAGAGGTGAGCTCTTCCAAACAGGAGCATTAGGCTCATGAGGAGACCTTCCTGTTCCTTGCTTAAGTTCTGGTATCTTGTTTTTTTTTTTTTTTTTCCTACTTTAAGAGCTCTCTCACCTTTGAAGTTTGAGAAATTTGAGGATAGGTCCATCAGAAACTGAGATATTTCAATGTCGAGTGGGCATTAGCTTTCTGTTTGCTGTCTTTATTGGGAATTCTCATTACCCTCTAGAATATCATAAAGTGCATGGAAACTTACTTTTGTGTTCCTCCATGTCTTCATCTCCTGTTGTGGTTCAAGTTATTCCTCTACTGCTTAATCCCCTGGTTGGTTCTGGGAACTCTTCTCAGCTGCTTATATTTGGGAATTTTTTAATAATTTGTACCTGGTCAGAAACCAACTGAACTTCTGCAGTCCTGTTAACTCAGGTTTATAAATCCTTCCTAGAATGAATAAACAATAGTGTATATTGGAGGAGATAACTGAGTCTTTACTCTTTTTTGGACTTAGCCTCTGATGCTTCAGTCTTTATTCTTCATCACATCTTAACCCCAAAGTTGCTGGTACCAATAAATTTAGCCATAATGACCTCTGGGTCTGACATTTAGCCAGACCAAGCTTTGTTTATCCCTCCCTCCAGAGAAGTGTTATGCAGCGAATGAGGCACTGCAAGTTTTCTTTTTGCCTTGGTGGCCTCTTCCTTGTTTGCAGTGTCTATAAAGTAAAATAATGGAACAGATTTGCTACCCAGAACTGCATGTGCGCTGATGCCTTTAGGAGGTGACTTTACTCAACTTTGGTATTTTGTATCTCAGACTAGTTCACCTATCTGCCTAGAGGGATTCAAACAACTCTTGGGATTTCTGCCTTCAGATTTCTGCTCTGACTTTGAACTGTCATTACAAATTTCAGCTTTGTATCCACAACTGTTCTGCAAGTTTTATTGCATATTGCTAATAAGGCTGCCTGTAACTTGGCATCTGCTGTGATGCTGAAAGGACTTGTGACACAGCACATGGGGTTCCACGGCAATGTTTGGTTCATGAAGGGTTTTTTAAATTTTGTTTTGTTTTCCACTGGCAAGGCCTCCCTATTTATTATGTTGATCAGATGCTGATTTCATTAAGGGGTTTCCAGGTGTTTCTGCTCTCTGGAAATTTTTCCGGTGACTTCCAGAAAGAAGCTGGCCTTATCAGTCCTTTTGTGCCTCACCAAGCTGCCTTACTTTCAGAGTTTTTTTCAGCCTCCTCACAGACAGCAACACAGCAGGAGTCTTTGGGAATAAAACTATAGACACTTTTGAACTGAGATAGGCATACTGGAGCTTAAATTGGTAAGGTTACTTTGAAGGAGAAAATGAATAGTATTTAAGCCTTCCCATAGTGAACTAATACCAAATCAGTTCAGGCCACCAGTTCTTGAAATATTGTCCTCCTACCTGTAGCACGTTGATGGAGGTACTAGAAAATGCTTATGATCTGATTACTGATTGCCGTTGTGCTTACTGACTTACAGAGGATGAGAGAAGGTTAGTTTACAGATCTACATTAAAAGTGCTTTCTGCATCTAGGTCTCTTCTCAGCTATCTTCAGAGGCACCAGTAGAAGCCCAAGCTATTAAACCTTCTCCTGCTGTTATTATAAAGCCTCCCGTGTTGTTCAGACAGCCCACCCCTGTGACAAGACCAAGTGCCCCACTGACAAGGCCTGCTACACCTATGACAAGGCCACATGCTCCAGTTTCTACTCCAACTACAACCCCAAGTCATGGTCAGTCTTTAAAACCATCACCTTCTACTATGGAACAGGAACGCTGGGATGAGGATTCTTTCCACGGACTCTGGGACACAAATGAGGATAAAGGAGCAAATATGGAGTACGAGTTGTGTAAACAAGAATCAATGATGCCTCCACCTGTCTCCTCACCTGTGAAAGGACCTGCTGTTCACACCTCTGTTCCATCAGCTGTACCAGTGTCCCTTCCTCCAGTTATCCCACCGGTTCCTAAAGCACCTGTAATTCAGCAAACTGTGGATTATGGCCATGGGCGAGGTGGGTATTGCAGTGTATTTGATCTGTAATGGAGAGCTAATTAGTCCTCTCAGCTTCTTTCTCAAGGAGTGTGCCACGCAAAGTATGCCATAGATGTTCTGCAGTTGACCTGCAGGCTGCGTACATTGCGATCTAATGCTAAGCAACGCAGTTTTAAGGAGTCTGTAACCTCCAGCCTTGAGTTTAATGTTTTCTTTGGTGCTGTGGTAATGAGGTATTTCATGTCAACTGAGTGGTGTACAGCCACGTCTGCTTCTGATAACACACTGATGTGATGACATCAGTTGGTGTTTACGTTTAGATTGACGTTGATACTTTCCCTTAATCCCTTTGTAGCTGAGTATGGAAATAACTGTGCCAGAAGGTATTTTGGATTGTTACAGTTCTTACATGTGACTTAGTAACTTAAAGCAGAATGTGACTGGTGTTTGCATTATTTATATACTTAAGGGATGCGAGGTACCTTCTAGACAGGGAGGGAGACAAAGTCCTAGTTCTGAAGGGCGTGTGCCCTAAATGGGCATTTAATACATAAACAGTGAAGGGCTTTGATTCTTAGTATTGAGCTTATTAAAGCTAAAATTCAACATTTTTAAAAATAGAATTAATTTCCCTCATTCTTAGTTTTCAACAGGAGTGAAATCATATCATAAAGAAGTTCTTAAATTGTGCATTGTCTTTTAAAGAGCATTTTTTCTCTAAGGTGTCATAACATGAATTGAAGCCATATCAATTCCATTAAGTAGAAATTTTTCTAAAAGCTGTTAGAAAAATTGTCACTGTTCGAAATTTAAAGTGAGCGTTTCAGTTAATTTCTTGAAATGACAGTCGTTCTATGAGTCACTGAAAAATTCAGAGCATTTTAATGTTTATAATCTCCTGACTGTGTGTGCTACCTGAATTCATCTGAAAAGGCAGAAGTTCCATTCTTAAGATGAAGATATCTTAAAGAAATGTATACTTGCACACACACACGCATCTGCTTCAGACGTTCAAAACCAGGGTGTTGTGTACTTATATATAGCGCTCTTTGCATTATCCATTAAAAAAAATTTTGGTTAAGTTATTCCAGTCACTTTTAATGCCATTGACTTTTGATTGCTTTTCATGACAGAGGAAAGGAAATGGAAGAGGGGTACTTTAAGACCTTGATTTTTTTTTATTATTATTATTTTTAACTAGATATAACCACCAGTAAAGTGGAGCAGATTCCATATGGGGAGAGGGTTACCCTGCGTCCGGAACCTCTACCAGAGAGGCAAGCATTTCAAAAAGGTAGGGAACACTTGGCTAGCTCTCAGACAGTTGGTTAGCTTTTAAGAAAAGTTGTAAGGCACTAAAATCATATTTTAAACTAAGTAACTCTTGTTTAATCTAGAACCACTTCATTTTCTTCAGAGGCCCATAAAAATGACAGTTTCTGTTGTTGAGAGGAGTAACGCAATCAATGACCTAGCCACTTCAAAAATTCAGTTTTGTAGCTTTAAGTAGGATTGCATGGTATAGTTGTCTGTTACAGTTTGGAAAAGAGATTCGGTGACTGATTAAGTCCATTCTAGCCTTCACATTAGATGTTTCTATACACTTTTCTTGCACTCTTGTTTGTTGCTTTTCCTTTAAAAATAATAAGAGCTTCAGAGTATGTTTTAATAGTTTGGATTTCCATGGGTTTCTCCTTTCAGAGCACCCCGCTCGTTACAACAGAGAAAGAGATCGTGAGCCCTATTTTGAGCGTCAAGGTAATTCCAACACAGATCATCGGGATTTCAAGAGAGAGCGGGAATTGCACAGAGACCGTGGTTCTGTGGACTATGAACGAGAGAGATTTGAGAAAGAGCGGCATCCCCGAGATGATAGGTACGTGGTTTCAGAACACAAATGAAATCAATACAATTCAGGGTGTATTGAGTATCAGGCTGTCCATTTTCCCTGTGAGGTACATGTTCGTTTCTCTCTGGAATCCATAGTAGAAATTCTAGAAATATGCAAAATACTCTTTTGGCAGAGTTCTTCCTACTACACCTTCAAGGACTCAGTCTTACCGTGACAAGAAGGACCATCCCTCCTCCAGGCGGGGTGGTTTTGAAAGACCACCGTATGAACGGAAGACAGATCGTCCAGCATATGATCATGGGCCTTCCATGTTTGGAGGTACAGTTTCTCAATCTTGAAGCCATGCTAGAATATTACAAAATGTATGAACACATAGAGGTGAAGATTAATTGATTTGCAGTATTTCTTTGTTCAGAATATGTAATTCAGGAAAATTTTTTTGGGCCACGTCATGTAGTTTTGTTTCTCAGTGGTGATGAGATCAGGAATGCAACAGTTATACTCGGCTAAAAAATGTCTTTGATTGCAATAGTTTCAAGGTTAGAAATTGTATTATTTTGGAGACAAATTGTGAATTTATCCTAAAATAATGAAAGTCTGTTTAAATCAGCTCAGCTGGGTATGAACATCTTAATTTTTTTATTTTACTGAACTAAGAAAATTCTTCTGTCCAAACACTGGAATTTGAAGGTGATCGTAGAAATTACCCTGAGGAAAGGATTCCTATTTCTGCTCCGTCAATCCCCCGTCAGCCACCACCTGCTCCGCGAGTGGAAAGGAAGCCAGAATCTAAAAATGTAGATGATATTTTGAAGCCACCAGGACGGGATAGTAGGCCAGAGAGGGTGAGTATGCTTTCTGAAAACAACAGTCTGTGAAGTCTGTATTCAGATAAAATGCTCATGAGTGCAATATGTTGGGAACAAGCCAACATTCGAGGAAGCTCTGGAAATTCTATCCATTCCTTTGCAAACGTCTAGAGTGTTGTAGCATGGTTATTAGGAGTCTGTAGGAGATACAAACTGCCTGGGAATGGTAAGATGAAATTCCTATTAGTAGGTAAAGTTAATGGGTATTTTAGACTCTGAGATCTTCACTTGGGTTTTTGATGTGTCAGAGGAAAGACTTGGCTTTACACAGAGTCAGAGATTCGGCAACACACCATAAAACATAAGAACGAACAAGATTCAGGCTATGAAATGTTTAGACAAGTTTCGTTCAGTTAACTTTTACCTAAACCAGCTCTATAGCAACTTATGCAGTGTAAGCTGCTGAGATGATTAACATCATATACTCTTACTCTGTGGAACTAGTACCATTCCTCACAACCTGGTTTGTAAAACAGGCAGTGAGGCATGATACTGGCTTTGCTTGATAATACCCAAAAGTGTGAGCCCAGAGCACATAATTTTCTAGAAGAAAATTTTTACCTGGTCCTGCTCTGGCAGGGGGATTGGACTAGATGATCTTTCAGGGTCCCTTCCAACCCCTGACATTCTGTGATTCTGTGTGATTCTGTGATTATGCTAAATGTAGTACTGTATCCTATGTTCTCACATGATCTTTGTTCCAGATTGTAATCATCATGAGAGGGTTGCCTGGCAGTGGAAAGACACATGTAGCAAAACTCATCAGGGTATGTAAACAACCGCTCACTGTGTACTGGTGCTTGTCTTACGTGTGCTTCCCCTGCTGTTTTCTGTTTGCCTGGAATTTCAGCCTGTTGTTATTTCACATTCCATGTCTTCATATGGTATGTGAATCCCCTCCACTGTTAGCAAGCATGAGGCATACTCCTCTCTTCTTGTTTTGAATATAGAGCAGGAAAGTGCTGTTTGCCAAAACTGTTCTGAAGATCCTCTGTAGCAGAATGGAATTTTTACAGCAAGAGTATGTGTTTTATTTTTGCTTTCTTCCCAGGATAAGGAAGTAGAGTGTGGAGGACCTGCACCAAGAGTGCTCAGCCTGGATGACTACTTTATCACTGAAGTGGAAAAAGAAGAGAGAGACCCAGACACAGGGAAAAAAGTGAAAAAGAAGGTACTTCTAGTTCAGTTGTTTATCTTGACAAAGGAACAAGATGTTCTGGAACAAGACAGTGGCAATCAGAATTTCAGTCTGTGGCTCTGGAAGAGTGCAGACGTCTGTGGGCTGTTTTACAAAGCAAGTCAATATAACCTAAGGGCAAAATGGGCAAATTCTTAAAAGGTGACCTGGAAGATGTTTTTCTTATGCCAGTGTACTTTGTGGTCATGACATTTAGCAGTTGAACATTAGCAATTTAACAGGTGTCCTTTTTCGTAAATGCTTTTGTCCTTGATAAAGGTGATGGAGTATGAATATGAAGCTGATATGGAAGAGACCTATCGTACCAGCATGTTTAAAACTTTCAAAAAGACCTTGGATGATGGCTTCTTCCCCTTCATTATCCTTGATGCTATCAATGACAGAGTGCGACATTTTGAACAGTTTTGGAGTGCTGCAAAAACCAAGGGTTTTGAGGTAATGGAGCCTAAAAAGCATTTAAACTCGCTAGCACCCGTATGCTGGTATTTTTAAGTTTTTGAATGCAAAGTTCCTCGCACGTTCAGGAAAAATGTCATGGTCTACAGTTTTTTGCCTTTCTTAGAATGTAACTGCAGAGTGTATCACCGGGTAGAAAAAGAGCTCTAAAAATTGATTTACAATATTTAATACTGTCTTTCTCTTTCTAGGTGTACTTAGCTGAAATGAGTGCAGATAACCAGACGTGTTCCAAGCGGAATATTCATGGACGCAAGCTAAAGGAAATCAGCAGGGTAACTGTGTACTTCTGGAGTTACAGGATTAATGATGGGTTTTATTGTGCTTCCAGACCTGCTGATGTTGGAAAACTGTTGACCTCTTTTAGACTACATAGTGCTTACACCATTCCTCTAAGAAGAGCTGGTAGTTATTATGGGATTGATTTACATTAAGTTTCTGAAGTACAGATACATCTTGTATGGAAACCAAATTTTCCATTGAATCTGTTGCGTTTTTAGAGGTGCTTCATTTTTATTTGTTCTTTGTTAGATGGCTGATCACTGGGAGGCAGCACCACGTCACATGATGCGCCTGGACATTCGTTCTCTATTGCAGGATGCTGCTATCGAAGAGGTGAGAATCTCTGTGCTTGTTAACGTTACAGATTACGTAGTTGTGACTATACTGAAAATACAAAGCAGAGAAAGGTATGATCACAGCAGCGCAGTTATACTTGGCACTGTAGAAAGCCAGAACCGCTGTGTCAGACAAGTGTATTCCATTATTCTTATCAATTACCCAAACATGAAGGTACATGTTACTTTTTATCACCTTTTTTTGAAGCCCAAACTTAGCATCTTTGAACAAGACTTGAAGCCACTTTGCTCTTAGCAATTGTTGAGTACCAATTAAAGAGGATCTTTGCACTCTCAGATGAAACTCGGCACTTTTTCAGGTTACTGGATTAATTGGATCATAATTTGAGGAAGTAGTTTGATAAAATAAATAAGGAAACAAATTTGAACTCCTGTTGGTCCCTGCTTTGAGAAATACAGACCTGTAGCAGAGAATGAAGAAATAACTGACACGTAGCAGAAGATTACACTTGCTGTAGAAGTATGCTACCTTTTTATTCCATTTGCAGTTTGCTGTGACATGAATCTTCGGTGTGTCAGTTTTCTGTATTGCTGCATTCTTCTTTGGCAGATGTTTCAGGAGCTCTCGGAATAATTTATTATGTTAATTGTATGGTCATCGTGAATGTACCATAGCTGCGTGTTGCTGTCAGAACAGCTCTTGCCACAGCCATAGAAACTGGTGAACTGCTGAAATAAGAGGAGAGTTTACTCTTTGCAGTTTGTCATGAGGTCAGCAGGTTATTTCTGAATCTCCAAATTCTTTGTGTCAGAAAATAGTAATCTTTAAGAGGACAGCAAAAGGCTCAGCTCTCAAGTAGACTCAGAGAAGGGCAGATTTGGGATTTACTCTCTGTGCATCAAGGTTTTACTAATGGTATTAAGAACTGTACGTACTTGGAGAGTTTTAGTATTCCGCAGCATGAATCCCCATTGGAGAAGTAGCTAGAAGGGAACCTGCTTCTGAGGGAGGCAAAAATGGAGCCAGTATTCACATATATGGTATCACCATACTTTCCAAGATGAATCCTTCGTCCATTTGAACTTGGAATCTTCTACTTAATCTGCTAAAAAGATACTACTTAGAAGTCAAGCAGTGCCTTGTAAGTCTACACTTGTGCTTTGGAACAGGTGGAGATGGAGGATTTTGATGCAAATATTGAAGACCAGAAAGAAGAAGTCAAGAAGGATACAGCAGAGGAGGAAGAAAGTGAACTGGTAGGAGACACATCAGCCGTCTCTAACAAAATGTTTGTTAATGTGTCTGAGGGAGAATCTCAGTCTTATAAATGCCAACTCATTGCCGTTCTTAGCAGTGCGATCTTAGTACACACATTTCTAGTCATTTGTTCCTTAAACATTTCTAGGAGAAATTTAATGTTAAAACATATAATTCCTAACTGATTTTTTTTAAGTATCTGGGAGTATATGCCACAAACAGCATTATCAGTGGCGACATGCCTCTTACAACATTTATAAATTGCAGTACACTATAGCATTGTCTTCCAGATTATCTAAGAATTACACTGAGAGATGGGAAGAATGGGCAAAGATTAATTTAGCTTATTTCCTTTCACGTGTCTAAAGAACTCTTCTCGACTGTCACAGTATATGACAACAATTCCAAAGAAGAATGCTTTCTCTGCCAAGGCTCTCTGGCTTTGTTTGTCAGTAGGTATTTCCAAGATGAGGGTTTAGGTCTCTTGGATAAATGAAAATTAGAGGATTGCCCCAAGGGATGGTATTTATAAGTATGTATTTAAAAGGCTGTAGAAAGCTTCCTAATGTAACTTCTTGGTATGTGTTGGAGCTGCAACTGGTCAGTGCTTGATGAGTTCAATGTGACAAACACAACCAAGCAGTTAAACTCCAATAAAAAGGAAGTAACCAAAAATGTCTGAGATGAGCAAAGTCCTTTTTCTTGATGGAAATTTACGATTCCTTAGGAGTGACAGTTCAGAAAGCAGTTGAAATACAGAATAAAAAAATAATAAAGCTTAGGAAGAGTGGGTTTTAATAAACATTTGTTTTTTGCAACATGACTCATTTATTCTCTTTACTAAATTACTCTTCGGCACAGAGTATGAGATTGCATAAAATGTGGTTAGAACGTTTCAAAGGTGCATCCATGTTTACAAGAATGTGGCTGCTAGTCTCATTTCTTGGAAGTGAGCTATATCTACATGAGAAAGTCGTCTAGCTTTTGAGACATCTGTGCGTAAATGTGTGCGTATGTGTGTGTTTACGGGCTCTGGGGAGTGTCCTAATGTACAGCATATATAACAATAGGCCTTTATGTTATGAGACAAGGAGAAGGCTTGGTGGTGAAAACTATGCAAATAACTAATAACTAAAAGTAATCTACATATAAGAATGTTTTCTATTCAGATTCACAAGAGATTAAAAATAGCAAAGAATTATCTGCTGTATGTAATCTCTGCTATTCACTCACATGGCTAATCTCAGAGAGAGAAGTATGCAGACAGAAAGGTGGAACAGTACGCTGTATTTGGTATCTGTTACCTTCTTGAGAGCAGTTGGTAAGGGTTCTTCAATTCATTTTGCTGAATTTAATCCTGTGGAAAAAAAGAAGTCTGAAGCTCCTGCCATTTGGCAGATGTCCTTGAAATATCCAGCTGTCTTGTACTAAAGGATGAAGTCTGAATCTTTTCTTGTCCTATCTGAGGACTGGGATATTGTACAGATTCAGTACACAATAGGCCATTTCACACCATCAAAGTCACTCTTTTGTTGCTATTATCAACTCCCATAAGGTTGTTTGTAGCATTCGGACAATTCTTGCTTTTCTGTGCTTGATGGTATGAATTATTGATGCATTTAACTTAGTGTTCTCACCAATGTATCACAGATCACTTTGTTCAATACAGGCTTCTAGCTGTGGTGTAAACTTTCTGAGCAAATTTTAATGTGCAATTTGGTTTAAAAGTATAAGTATACATGTATAATATATATATATACACATTATTTATTTGTTACAAGGGAGTATTGCAGCACAAGCTGTCTTAGTTTGTATTAATTACAGACTTGATCAAAACCAATAAAATATAGAGATCTGATAAGTCACTGATACATGCTTGATAGAAAAAAGGTCTTTCAGGGATTTTGGAAGAGCAATGCTGAACATAATCAAAAGCAGTGTAGCTCTCTGGAATAGTCCACTCTGATTTAGTAACTACCATTAGCATTAACAAATACATGTGCATGTTTACCACAGCGGAGGCAACCTATAAATAGAGCAGGAAAGAAGTTAGTGTAATAAAACTGTTCTGTGGGTTGTTTGTTTTCTTGTTGGAAACCACTCTACTTCTAGAGTAGTTCTTTTCCCTTTCTATTAAAAATCATTCTTAAAATAATGAAATTCTCACAGGAGTTCCATTTCACTACATTCAACTTTTTATGTGATTGCAGAGGAACATAAGTAGTTTTATATCAAATCTGAACAGCTGAAATGAGTTGTGAGGAGTTGCTTAGTAAGGATTTACTTGTCCAAGAGTATAAAATGAAAAGGCAACAAGAAGATATCTAAAATAAATACTTTTTTGCCAAATTTACTATCATTATGCTCATTTACAAGGAATTACCTGGCTAAAGATCATTAGGTGTAAAACATATGATGACATTATTTGTAGGGATGTTTTAAAAGAATCGTTGAACTAAGAAGGTTATTTTTAAATGAAAAATAATACTTAAATCTCAGTGATTCAGCAGATACTCTGATTTAAACTAAAAAAAATAATTTTGTTTAGTTGCGGGCTAACCACTCATACAAGAATTTAGTTACGTCCCTTCAAAAGGATCATTATGTGAAGCTTGTGTGTAGTAAATCTGGGAATATATTCTTAAAAGCTTATGACTACGGTAACTTTTGCATTTGTATTTGTAAAGCTTTGAATATTCTTTATGCCTGATAAGTTGTGTTGCAATAACTTTGCCACCTGGGATAATGTGATATAGTAACTGTGCACACAGCGCCATTGCTGTCTGTTAGACTCGTTCTGGAGTTCTGTGTTTGCAGAGGGTAGCACTCTTGTAACGATTTGCAAGGGCTGCTAAAATCAATGAATGGGAGGTGGATGCAGAAGTTCTGAAATACTGAGTAATTTGTTTCCTTCATCTGATAACAAGAATTGTGCCTTACGAAAAGAAATACCTTAAGCTCCCATTATAATGCTGTTTCCAGTTCAAAAGTGATATGCATGTGTGTCTCTCTCTAATCCTCCGAGCTTCTCTCTGTGTATGATTTAGGGTTACATTCCGAAAAGCAAATGGGAGATGGACACTTCTGAGGCAAAGCTAGGTGGGTATTTATTTTTTCCTGTTTCTTATAGTTGGTGTCTGATGATGTTTGCAAAACCTGAACTTTCATTTTTACTGTCCCTCCTTACCAAAGACAAATAAATGTATTGATCTCATACACGTGTCTGAAACTGCAGAAGCATCTGTACAGAAAAGGAATTTGGCTTCTGCCAGAGGCAAGGGAGTTATGACTTTCTAACCATCTGGTTTATATACTCATTAATTGTTCTTCCATGTGTTCAAGGACAGTACTTTGTCTTAGATTTTTTAAAAAGCAGTATTTCTATTCTTTATTCTTCTCTTCCGTGTTATAAAAAGCAAAGAGTCAACATTGCACTGGATTCTTGTTCATACTGCATACCTTTTTTTTAAGCCTAAATGTCGTCAGTAACTTCCTACTCTCTTGGAGACATGCCTAGTCGCTAACTGTATTGAAGATGTTTCTCACTCTCCAAAATCGACATGTGTGAGGACAAAGTAATGCCTTGCTTTGAAGTTGGTTCTGAATTATTAGGCCTTGGTATATCTTTTCAGCAACTTAGGTGTTAAAAAGTTAAAGTTCATGATGCTTTTCAGTTCTAAGAGAGTACTAGAATTCTTTTTAGTAGGATGCGAAATGAACTTCCCAGGCGTGCAAGGGCACTATTTTTGCTGCACTTTTTGTTCTGATTGGTGCTGCTGGTTGCATTAGACATAAGTGCTGATATTAGGATTTTGTCGAAGTCGAAAGCAACTTTCAGGCTGAAATGTACCATGGCTGTGGTGGAAGGTGGACACATGGAAAGGGGTTTCTGGTCATCGTGATCAGTTTGGGGTTTGGTTTTTTTTTTAACTGTAATGGTATTAAGTGAAGATTTTATCAATACAGTCTGCATAAAACTGCTATTTTCTGTCACATCTATGAGAAGTAACAAATAATCTGAATGGGACGCAGCATGTCTTAATGTTTTGAGGTTTGCTTCTGCATGTGTAGTACAGCCCTGTGTATCATCACTTTCCAATAACCAAAATCACAATTGCACCATAGAAATAGCATTAGAAGTTCTGGCTTACATAAAACAGCCTTTCTTCTTTTGCTCTTAACTGTTTAGCTGCACCATCTCTTCTGCTGCTGTGCTCTGTTTTAAGTAATTTAAATATTTGTGGAATATATTGACGTTGTGGCACCTGCAGTACAACAGGAGGAGCCTTGTACTCAACGATCCCAGCATATCAAACAGCTAGGCAGTTAGAATTAATTCAGGATTGCTCTGCATTTTTGTTATGAGTTGATTATTTTAATATCTTGAGATTATTTCTTAAGTTTATATTGATTTTTTTTTTTTGGCCAGTTATGTATGAAATCAAATAGTACTGGAAAACTGCATTGTTGAAGAATGCTCTGATACATTGTGTTGTATTCCTTTTTAAATACTGAGTAGTAAGAACAGATGTGTTGCGCTGTGTAAGATGAACCTTAAGTCATCCCGTGTGTTTTACAAATATCACAGGAGTCCAAAGCGTGTTCTAAAAATATTTATGTGTAGTTTCTAGCAGTGTGGAGACTATAACTGCAGCAGCAATTTGCAGATAGCTTTCAAAATTTATCCCTCTCATGACTGAATACTGCTAACAAATAGAAACAAAGAACTTCATTGCATTTCTTTCCATATGAAAAATCCATAATATAAAATGCAGGAATTTTATATGGTCTCCTCTTAAATGCAGAATGGGGGACAAACAGCAGAGTTGATTTTATGCTGAAGTGAGTTACTTGCAACACTCTTACAATAATCCTTTAACGATCAATCTCCATTAACAAACTGGATGTTAACCATGCTGCAAGACACAGATACAGGTGCAGAGAAGATCTTTTTATTAAATCTGTATTTGCGATTTTGCTTTTATAACTACTCTCTAGATTCGTTTTTATAAATATATAGAACTACAGATTAAAAGTAACTTCTGACAGAACATACATTTAAAAAAAGCCAGGCATTCCTATGTAATGAATGCTGTTTGAAAAATTGCTCTGCAGGGGCAGACAACTTTTAGCTCAAGGTGTGCCATGTAAGCACTTCCAGTCTGTGAGTAAGAATTATTATATTTAATTCACAAAAAGACTTTGTTGTAGATGACCAATTAAAATTTTTTCATGAAAGGCATCTAAACTGTGATATGCATTTGTTGTTGCAAAGTTGAGTTATTTCCTGGAGCTGGCCTGCCCACTTAGGTTTATTGCATTAGTCCCAGAGGGCACACATTTGCAGAAGTGATGTGAGTGGAGAATCCAGAAAGAACACTTGTGGGTCTTGTTTTGCTTTTTTCTTTCTGAGTAGATGTTGTTGCAAGAAAGCACAATAAGATCTTACTGATTGTAATAAGCCTCAGAAAAGGTCTGAAAAGTTTGAGTTCTTTTGCTGCAATGCTGACTTGTGACAATCACCATACCATACACCTCAGAGCTCTTGCTTTAGTTCAGATTTACTTTGGCGGGGGTGATGCATTCCTCTGAATGTGTGTGGTATATAATTTCCATGTGTGTTGTGAGTGCACAGTCACATTTTTATTCTAAAGTCTAATCACTGGTCTGTCTCAGTGCGTAGTGCACATGGGTTCCTGTATTTAAATTTACAGAAATAGACTCGCATTTTTAAAATTTGACTATATTTGAAATGTTTAGCGCAATACTCTGTTTCAAAGTGCCACTTAGTGATGAGTTCTACAAACTTTCAGGAAAGGAGAAATGAGCTCTGGTATAGCTGAAGTTTTGATACCACTGTAAAATTTGCTCTAGAATGCAAATAACATTTTACATAAAACTTTGTGGCTTTTGTATAAGAAGGCTGAGAATTTATCTGGTTGATTCATTTAGTTTTTAAAGGAGCTGATTATGTCAGTTACTTTCAGATGCTTTATTATTAAAATTCTAAAGGTGAGTTTTTAAGTTCTGCGGGTTTTCAGAAGTGCTGCTGCTTCATTGTTTCTAAAATTGAAATGGTAAAATGCTGTTTGATAGTTTAACACTAAATAATCATCTGCCATAAATATTCACGAGTACCATTGTTACAAAATGACACCTTGTCTCATTTTCAGAAAAGAATATTCTGAAATAATGCTTTGTGGTAGGTTTTTGATATTTCTGTAGTGTGCCTACTGCATGGCACATGTACCTTGAACCACAATAGTATGGATGGAAGCAGATCCTTCTGGAAAGGCAATCCAACTTCAAACATGGAAGGAGATATCTTTTTAAAATAAATTCTGTGTAGCAGTAACAAAAAAAGGACAGAGGGGAATATATACTCTGAACGCCTCCTGAACTCCTTTATTGACGTTTGAGAGTTACACCTTTCGTGGCGATGTTTTCAATTGGTCTGTGTGCAGCAGGGAGTGGGAGACTGAACTCTTTCTTCCACATTGGGGATGAGATGAGCTTGCATCGTAGCATGTTGCCTTCCAACAGGAATATGTCCGTGTACAGATGCTTGCCGACAGAGAGCTCCTGAATTTTCAGTTCTTCATGTTCCTAAATGCTCCTCAATGCGTGCGTTTGCTCTCCTTTTCAATGTCATTTTCTTCTGGAAACTCTTATGCTGCAAATGGTCTAAGCTGATTGATCTGAGAGTAATACTGAGGAATAGTGCAAGTGCATTATGTGCTGGAGTAACAGAGGAATATTGTATAAATCGATTTCGTCTTCTAGAGGGAGTGCCATCTTCCTGTGGAGACCGAGCTTCAAATTTGGCAGATTTAACTTAGAGCAAAAGAAGAACCTTAACTGAATCGTGTAACAAGATATCATGTAACAGATACAAATATTCTGCACAGTTTTCTTAAATGTTGCCTTTTTTAAAAGGCAGAGGGGGATTAAAATGTGTTCTTAGAAGAAATTCTATGTCTGTTCCAAGGAAATGGGGCAAAGGTGGAGTCTTTAAAAATTTTAGAGTTGTATGAGGGAGAAATTACTTCATTAGTTTATGGCATTTAAATTATACTAACATGTCTGCATCACCGTTGCCTCACATTATCTCCGTTGTTACTCTTTTCTCTCCCATATTAAGTAAAAAAACCTCATCTCTGAACTGAGCTTCTTTAAACACATACCTTTGAACATCCTCTTCTGCTGTCAGAAAATATGCTGCCTTGTATTTGGTTTATTTCTGAGGCCTTTTGTGGGTGAACTGAATTACATCAGTGACTTCTGAAACAACGTTACTGATAGAACTGGAAATTATTTACGGAATATAACTGCCAAGCGAAGTATTTCTTCTGCATATGCTTGAATTGTTGGCTTATAAAATGGTAGCGTACATCAACAGAAGTACCTGTACAGCTGTTTTTCATTTTCATGCTTTGTTGTTCGTAATCTTAAAATGAATACTTCATCTCCTTTCCAAAAGCAGTTTGCCACATAATTTCAAGAAGGTGTTGTTTTTTCACTGAAAATAAATGTCCAAAGAGGAAGAACATTTTAGAAACTAGAAATGGAATTGTTTCTCCTCATGGCTTATCGGTTCAATAAGAAAAAGAAGAAAATGATGACTGTTGGACAAAGTACTGCTCAAATATTCATGACTGACCTCTTGCACCATGAAACAAAGGGTTCTGAGATATTTTTTTCCAGTCCTGGAGGATTTTTTGAGTGTGTTTTCCTTGTGGGGAGAGAAGAAGAAAAGGGGGGATCAGGGTTTCCAAGGAGCTTTTTGTTTAGCAAAACTAAATCTCAAAAACTTGTCTTTGATGCATTAAATTATATGATCATAACTTGTTCCCTGATACTGCATGTATGCCGTGTTTGACACAGTATTAAACCCCAAATTTGGGAAAAATGCTACAGTTTTAGTATTGTGTTCAAATACAGAAAGGTGGATCTGTGGTTCTTAGCTATTGATGGCTATATTGTACCTGTAAGGACAGGGTCCATATAGTATAAACATGCAGAAGAGCAAGCTTTTCTCCCTCAAACGAGTAACAAGACTGAGTGTAATTGCCACACAGTTAATGTGAAAGATCAATAAAACTTGAAAATGGTGTTGAGTCTTCTCTAGTTTATTTCAACTCTCATCATTCCACCTGTCAAGACAAGCTGGATGTGCAAGTTCTGCTGCTCATTCGTTTGAAATTTTTTCCACTCTCGTCTTGTTTGTGTGAATAATAGAAAAAAAATTCTCCTTTAACTCTGAGGCTCTGTGTTTGTTCTCAGACAAGCTGGATGGTTTGCGGACTGGCACTAAAAGGAAACGTGACTGGGAAGCAATTGCCAGCAGAATGGAAGATTATCTACAGCTTCCAGATGACTATGATACACGTGCTTCTGAACCGGGAAAGAAAAGGGTAATAAGTTTTCAAATGACTTACCGTCTGTATGTGACCATTTAACAGTCTATGTGAAAAAGAGTTTGTATCACGTCGTTCAGTGTCTATGAATATGGCAATTTCACTGACTCACTTTTTGTTTTGCTGTTCCACTAGATTCTGTCAGAATATTCTTTAGAGTAGGGTCTTCCACAGGTAAACAGATTAATTATAATGAAGTGAGAAATTGTAGATAATAAAGATTAACGATGCATGGCATGGCTTTTGAGATTTGGAATGGAATCATGTCCCATTTTGTGCTGGGGGAGATGATGTGCTTTGTTTCAGAGAAACATATTGAGCCCTTTTCTTATGCTATATGTTTTGCAATTAAATAGTATGGTATATAGTGCAGTTTTCAGGACAAGATGACTTTATTAAGCTATCTTTTGTTAGGTTTTGTGGTAAGTAGGCAGAGAAGCAGCACACTGTTTTTTATCTTCAAAAAGATTCAACTGAGGGAAGTATGAGCTATGTCGGTTTTATATCAATTAAGTCTTGAGGATGTTACCTCCTGCATATGCCTTGCATAAAGTTTGGGAGATGGTGTATAAGAAGTTGGCTTCAGCCACTTTGTATGTAGTTCTGTTTTGAACACAAAATGCTACATCTTCAAATACCATTGTGGGGGAAAAAAGGGCAAAAAAAATCATAGAGGGAGATGAAAAAAATCATAGAGGGAGATAGTCTCCAAAATAGAAAGACCAGCTTTAGCTGCTAAAGGTAATTTGAGTTAACTGTTGGTATTTGGGCTTTGTTTTGTTCTGTAATGTTGAATAGAAAACACAGGTAGTACTGGACAGCATGCGTGAGAGAAATGGAGATGCTAAGGCATTGGCAGAGGAATTGATGGTGTAAGAAAGCAGACATTGCTGATCGGCAGAAATGTCTGGGGAAATCCAGGTAGAATGTGGAATAGGGAGATGCTGGCAGAAAGGTCGTAAAGCTGTGTCCCCAAGTAACGTATCAGCCTGAGTGGGACTAATCAGTTAGGATGTCAAGGATGAGCTCCTTCATGTACTGTTTTTTCTTGTCCTGGAGTGGTGTGTTCCAGCTGAGTTTCTGGACTATATCCCTTCATCATCACCTGCCTCACTCTGTCCTCCTTGTTGCGCTCCCTCCCATTGGTCTGTGGGTTTGTGGGGGAGGGAGTGACTGTATATGTTTGAACAGGATGAATGCAAGTGATCTGCATGACCATGAAAAGCCATGAAGAAGAGATGGCTGCAGCTGTAAAGATGGGAAATAACTCTTCATGCATTTGTTATTTAGTGTAAAGAATTCGTGGAAAAATTTAAACAGAAATGTATCACATAAGATAGAGAAAACTGTCCCTCATTCACTCACTCATTGATGAGTTGCTCTTTAACACTGTCTTTCTGTGGTTTCATAGTCGTCTTCTAGTTGTGCAATTGAAAGACAGGTTGTACGGAATATGAAGAGACTAAATGAATCTTTGATATGTCTTGCTGCAGAAAGCATTGCTTTGAACAGAGAAATAATTGTAGTAATTACACTTCAGCTCTCAGAATTGTAGCATTGAAATGGAAAAGGCTAATCACCTGTACCTTTGTTCTACTCCATGGAACACGTGGGTTATTAAATTAAAAGTAGTGTAACCGGTGTAGTTTCCATCTTTACCCATCAGAAAGCAAATTAATCCTTCCATGTTCAAATGAAAATGAGTACAAATTCGAATTCCTGTGCTCTTATCTGTAGTGGAAAGCCTAGACTTGTCTCAGGATTTCTTAAGAGATTGTCCTACTGATAGTATGTTCTCCATAGGTGCGGTGGGCAGATCTAGAAGAAAAAAAAGATGCAGACAGGAAAAGGGCCATTGGTTTTGTTGTTGGGCAAACAGATTGGGAGAAGATAACAGATGAAAGTGGTCATCTTGCTGAGAGAGCCCTCAACCGCACCAAGTATATATGAAAAAGTGGTTGAATGGAATTTTGTGCCTTTAAGGTAAGTATTCAGTATTCCTGCAATTATAGCTTTGATGGGTTTTAGGTTTTTTTAACAGTTAAGGTTGCAGTTCATGTCATTGTTAGAGTTCTCCCAGACAAGATTATTTGATTTGGACCCTTGTATAGTGGATGTCAGCTGTGCCTGTGTCAATGTGCACCCTCCTGTACAGCATCTGAAAATAAAAGGAGAAGGATTGTCAGCTATCAATCTCCAAACCTTATTAACAGGAAGATTATGCTTTCATTAAAAGAGTAGTTTAGCTGTGTGCCTAGTTCTCTGTAGTTCAGATTTTGCTTACTATATGTTAACTCTGACCACGTTAGTTGCTGGTTTACTTGGTGTAACAAAGTTTTCCTTTCTTTACAGGCCATTTGCTCTGAGGAGAAGTGAACCAAGGTGTCATGAGCATCTTGCATGGGTCATGTCACTCCCACCTTCACAGTTTTTCTTTGTTACTTTAGTTTCAGCAGTTTTCTTGAGATATTGGCAGATAACCAGTGCCCTCAAAAAACCCGACGAATCCTGCTGCTCCTAAGTGAGAGAGACAGTTTACTTTTTAATATTTTTGGAGGGGAGGGAGGGGGAGGGCCAGTAGTTTTAGCTGCTGTTTGTGGGATAAAGTGGAAGGATTAGACAGATGTTACCTCCACTGTACTGTCACAGAATGTTTATCACCTTTGCTTTGTGGCTGTTCTCGTTTTATACTGTATGTACCTTGTAGCTTATTGTATTAGGAAGCAGAACAATAAATTTCACTATAAACTCGGTGTTCTTGATGGACCATACAGCATGGTTTTTGTTTGACATTTTAAATGTGGTCTGTGTTCACATGTTGACAGTGCTCGGTACCGTCCTTGCCTGGAGGAGGTGCTGTGCTCATATTCTGGAATGTCCTGTCTTCTAGGTTTATCACCTGCTCTTCTTTTCACAGACAGTTCCATTAAGGCCCCAGGTCTTGCTGGCCTTTAGGAGTCATACTGTTCTCCTTCTTCCTGGAG